TCCTGACACCTGTTCCCCCCACCCCTGGGAACAGGGATCAAACTCAGGATCTTGCACTTTTAAGGCAGGTACGGCACCACTGAGCTAAATTCCTGGCCCTTGACAATTATTTTAGTCATGGGTTTGCCTTTTCTGCTTCCAGAGTTTCAGCCAGACTATGTCTGAAGAGTTATTCAAGTGTCACAGGATCCCGTGTAATATCTCATTGGACTAAAGGACTCACTTTAGAGAAAGGAGAAGTATTAGCAGGCATGTGCCGTGAAATCCACCAGCCCCATAACACACTGAAGTGTTCAGCCTGATGAAGCAGTGGGAAAGCCTGAGGAAGAAAGCTCTGAGGACCAACTTTGACGTGATCCCAACTTCTAACAGCAAGTCAGCTATAGTGCCTCACTCATAATCCAATCACTTAACACGCACCCTGCCTGTGAGTGCATGAAGCTCTTGGGGAATATCTATACACAAAGCACAGCAAGGACCGTTTGTGTCCTTGAGAGCAGCTGCTCTGGCAGGAGCTGCAGCTTGTCCCTTTAACTTTGTAAGTTTCTCTTGGGAAGAGAAGTTCATCAGAATCTTGAAGGAGTTCTCCTGGAACTTACACAAAAAGATTGGATCTAAGTAGTGCAAGGGGTGGACTGGAGGGGAAGGTATGAAAGGAACAGTGCCCAAATCCCACCTTCCACAACCCCTATATCCCTACCCTACCCCACAGCTCCACCCTGCTCCTTAGAACTGAAACACTTGTTCTACCACACTGTAGGAATGTTCTCAGTCTGTAGCTGGGTTCTTCCTCACTATGATTGTCCTTGGCTGGAGAGGGTCACCTTGCCCTAGTTCATACCTCCTTTCTGGAGTCAGCTCATGGCTCAGTTACTGTGAGTGAGAAGTTTTAAAGGCCCAACTTCCTTCACCCACTTTCAGACATCGGCAGGATCAGCCGTGCTAGCTTCAGAGGTCCCCATGGATCACCGGACTCCTCTGGTGTAACTTGGTCACAGCCCAGCCCCTCTCTCAGCTTCACCTGTGTGAGCCTGAAGGCACTTTCGAATTCATTTCCTACATACAAATCTCAGACTGAATCTGCTTCCTATGGAAACCAATCTGTGGTCTTCTCAAGAATTGTACCAAGGGGAGAAAGGAACCCTTCTCCATTGTTGATAGGAGTACAGATTGGTGCAGCCACTGTGAAAAACAATATGGAAATCAATATGGAAATACCTCAAAAAAGGATTAGAAGTCCCATTTGACCCAGCTATCCCTCTGCTGGGTATCTTTCAGAAGAATTAAAAGGATCATGCCACAGTGATATATGCCTGCTGATGTTCTTAGTGACACAGTTTGTAATAACTAAAACTTGGAAACAGCCCAATTGCTTAGCAATTGGAGACTGGATAAAAATGTGGTTTTTCTATAAAATGGAGCACTGCTCAGCCATAAAGAATGAGAAACTAAAGACATTTATAGCTAAATAGATGCATATTGAGGGCATACTCTTAAGTGAAATAAATAGGACATGAGCCAATACTGAATAGTTTCTTTGGTGTGAAAAACTAAAAGTATAAATAAATGAGGTTCAAATGGTATAATTGATAATGTGAAATAGGAAGAAAAGGTCTAAAGGGAAAGTGGGAAGGGTTGGGGAAAGGAAATAAGGGAAAAGAAAAAATATGATAAAAGGAAAAAAAGCAAACAAAGTCTTTGTAAATAGGGGAGTGTGAAGGGGTGAGGGGTGGGCAGGTGAATGGGGAAAAATAACCAAGGTCCCAATGATGAATGTAACTGTATTGTTTACCTTAAATGTACCAGTAAATTTAATGGGAAAAAAGAAAGGAAGGAAGGAA